CTCACCGTTTTGTTTCGTGGTCTACTAGTAGATATATAGAGCACCTTACGTCTCATGTAGGCTAAGTATGTACTCGTCTTAGATTCACAAAGATCATTCGAGATTTGACGCAAATTCAGGTAGTCATCTTTGCAATTCATGTTTGGTTTCTATGCATTTCCAAAGCGCTTCAAGGTTTTGCGCCCTGAGGTTTTGAGGTCCAAAGCGCGGAGGATGTTCATGTTCTGCGATGATTACCTCTACGGTCTTCCACGTTATGCGTCTGTGCCCTATGTGCGCCTAGTGTGGCATTCGAATTAACTTCACCTTTCCCAACTAGGTATTCTTTTATACGGACACAGAGTAGCCTGCCTCTATCTTCTATACAAAACGAAAAATGTACCTAATATGCACTGACGGTAAAAACGAGCTGTGTGACTGGCGTTAGGGCTTTCTTAATCTCTTCCAAAAGGTGTGGCGGCGAATGCTCAGTGGAATGGGCAGGCCCCTGTAAAGAAATTATGTACCCTGAATAAATGCTATTTCCTTTCTCATCTACGCTGAATCCTTTGCACATCATTAAATGTTTGATATGTTACTTTTAGAAAATTAGCATAATTAAGCAATGAGTCATACCAGCAGCTAGTATTTTCGGCTGGCAGATGGTTCGATATTTCGCCTTCAGATGGCCGATATGTGTTGCTAGCTAGTTACAGGCTAACTTTTGTAGGATGGCTGAACGAAAAATCATCCCTCAGCGATTCATCTGGCTGCAAATGCCCCGTCGAAACAGCCATCTTCGCCCTTACATCGCTGCTCTCTCCTGCTTAAACTTCTCAGCTCATCTTTGCTACGATTAACATAAAACACAATTAGGCTGACTAAGTTTTCACCTTTATCTCTGCCAGCATATCAGAGTCATCATCTAGATTTCTTGCCTTCTCAGTAAGTAATAAGTTAAGTTGTCGTCATCGAACCAATCTATTTCTTTGGCATTGTGCTAGGTCCAAGCTTACTCCTGTGCACTTGTGTGATGTGTAAATTATCCTGCCAATGTTAGGTCACTGAATGAAAACCCTTACTTGTCATACGGTAACTGGGACCTCTTGCTGCTTTATTAATGCCCGTTTCTTATGATAATCGTTACTGTGGTGTTCAGTCCCACGCCCACTCATCACGTCGTACCACCGGCTGTTTTTAGAGATGCTTTCAAGCCTCAAAGGTCATCTTCAACTTCCTACTTCACGTATAAAAACCAGAAGCTCACTTCTCATCACAATCTCCAAATACAAGTCAGAAACATCTTCTTCGTCGCTCATGTGTCTTCTTCTCTATAGTATTTTGACCACTAATCGTGTATTATTTATTTAATTTACGGGTACATCTATGACATCATTTTTTTGTTCTTGTTACGCAATATAATTGAAAATAAAGATCTAATTGCCTAACTTAGAGATGCAATCCACGGCGAGAAAGAAAGGCCCTGAGTGGCAAGCGACGGAGGCGAGCATCACTAACACCAGTACATTCCGTTTTCTTACGAAGGAACACTTAGTCAGCAAAGTTGAAGCTAATTCAATACCTCACTAAACGCCCAAGACTAGATGCTTAACGAGGAAGAGTTTGAAGCAGAAATAACTATTCTAACACGGGATCGTAAGCCGTAAATTCTCAAAGCGTTTTGGATCTATTTTAAAACTCCAAGCATGATCTCGAAGATGAGCGCCTAATTATCACTCGTGGTTTCGCGCAATATCTCGGATTGATTTTTGTGAATCTGAGACAGACACATACCTCACCGCACCCCATGACTCTGTGCGGCGGTCTACATATTGACAACTAAACGGCAAAACAGCATAACGGTGAGTATTTGATAGTAATTGATTACCTATGTGAATTGAAAGTTGCATTTGACGTTTCATCTGCTTGCGTTACGAATGTCTTGGCTGAGTAGATTACAAGTATACTCTTCCGGGCTGTGAAGAAGGCGATACTGCTCAAGCGTCAACCGTTGAAACTGTTCATATTGTGCTAAGTAAATCGTGTGTTAACAACCTCGTGTCGGCCAATAGGAAAGTTAAGTAAGCATTCGACTACTTCCGAGAATAATCGATTGTCAGTCCTAAAAGTTATACGAGTTATTGTGAGCAAATTTATTTAATCTTAGAAGTAGAACCTACTATTAGCAGTTAGTCTGAAAGAGCGCTGAAGGCGGCGCAGTGATCAAAGATGGCTTAAAACGCAAATAGTCCCTGTCCCAAAGGTAACAGCAAAAAAAAAGCGACTAATTTGAAAAGAAAAATTTCTGAATCAAAAGACCAGTAATAACTTAGATATGTTATCTACAGTGTAACAAAATGCGATGGATACTCGCAGTCAGCATTTGAGGCCATTCATATAGAAGATTAAATCTTCATACGGCAGCACTGTCCACATGTAGGTTGCAGTACTTTGTGGATGGCAGAGTCAAAAGAGGAGATTAGATTAGGTGCTAATGTATGATCGTACGTGAAATTGATGACCAAAAATGGAAGGAATTGAAAGCGATCTTTGCAGAAATGCACTGTTTTGTTAGTGGCAGCTGCAAAACTCTGAAAATCTTGCAGAACGGTAGCGGTGGTACACTGACTACGCAAACCGACAGGAAGGTTCCACACAAAATTTCATCTTCCATAATCAAAACCCAAAATCTTCGTTAGAAAATGATCGAACTCAAATTCACTCATCTTGTATGACAGAAACAGTTCCAAGGCAGAATACTACAACAATGAATAACTCAAGAGCTTTACGCTACAAGCGTCGTTCTATTTTTGCCACTCACGCAGCATTTCATCTCTAAAAGAAGTGTAATAGAAGATATCGTGGCACGCTGTTTGCGCCTGATGATTATCTTTGAACCATGCATGTAGTGTGTTATGGGTACCTAAACAGTGCAATACACGTGTTTCGATCCTGCAGTCTCGTCAGTTGTACGGTGACTTTATTCTGAGCCAATCCCTCTTGGGGGAGAGCCTCTTCACATACAGGTACCGCAGGAATCATGGTGACTCTTAGCACTTAATGGCTCTTGTAAATGGTACGTCTGCGGTTGCTCTATGTAAGGGGGTTTTCCCACAGGAAGGATTGACTCAGATGAAAGGCAGCATGCATCTGACGAGGCTGCAAGGCCGAAACACGTCTATCACGGAACACTGTATAAGTGTCCATAACAGACCACATGCATGGCTGAAATAAAATTATCAGGCATAAGCAAGCAGCATTAAATTGCTTTTATTGCTAAATGGACGTTTGTCGAGGGAATGCATGAGGTTATTGAAGTCTGCGATATCGTTTATCTCTTTTTTAGCTTTCATTTGAGGCAAAAAAATCTGAACAGCACTGAACAAATAGATCAGATCTTTGTTTAAGTGTCCGCACAAGGAACTCAAACCATAGATCGATAGTGGTTTTGTCGTATGTTCAATGTTCCAAGGTATCCACCTGTGATAATTTTTGCCCATCGATCGTCGTTTAGATTCCTATTGTACACCTCATGGACATTTTGCGCGCAGAATAGGGCCTTCGTTTTCCGATCATTTACGTATTATTTCTCATAGTTCAATGGCAGAAACATGATCTTTCATCCTGTTCACTTGGCAAGTAGGCTTCCGATTAATATGCTAAGCCAGAGAGACTTGTTGAATCGAAAGCGTGGAAATGGAGCCGTGTATTTGCTCTGCCCACTTCATATTTGATGTTTCTGAAGGCTCTCTAAGCTTCTCGATTCCTCTAGCTCAATCTGAAGTGAAGTGAGAAATTTTCTGATTTTACAAGCATTATACGCCACTGAAGCATGCTATGACAAATTCTTTCAGCGCGAATGAGACAACCAATCGTGATCATAATATGAACATTCATGATCGTGTGTACGTAAATATTAATGATATTTGTCATTGGCGCAGCTCAAACAAGAAGAGCATTGCTTTGGCCCATCTCTATCTCAGTAAAGTAAAAAATCACTATTGATCTTCATACACCATTTAGAGGGCTTCGCGGATGTTCGCGATTTTCGTGGCTATATATGCCTTATCGAGGAAAAACCATGGGTAGCATAAGACGACCGAAAAATCTGCCACATCTTGAATTACTTTTAAGGGCCGGCCAATCAAGTAAATGGGCACGAAAATGCAGCCATTCATCACAAGACATCAGAATTATTTGATTTGCCTATTTTATTCTCTATCTAGATAAAACACGGTTTTATCTTTGGTCAGAATACAGATTCTAACTCAGTATATTTCTGAGCATTCGATGAATCTATACCTGTATTACATGTACCAAGAAGTGGAGGTACCCATGCTCCATTTGTGCAAGTGCTGGATATTGTGCCAGAAATAGTGTAACCAAGATTGCAATTGAGCGTCGCTACCGTACCGGAAGCATAAGAACCGACTAAATATGCTGTATTTTGATAAAGAAAAGAAAATAGCACCCTATCTGACCAAAACTTAATTACTTCCAACAATGCTGTAAGTGACGAAGCCGTTCAGAGGAGTTGCCATGGGAAGGCAGACACCTTCACCAGGAATGGGAATTATTCCTGAAGAAGATTGAAATTATCAATCCGAGTTTTTTTTTTTTGATTTCGCTGGTCTAGTTCTAAACAGTCGTCATTAACTTTCCGGAGAGTATCATATTCGCAGCATTACAACTCTAATATACTTACATACCGCATGTGCTCTACATGGGCTTGGAAGCACGGTCAGCTTAGCATGTTAATAAGTGAAGCTTTTGTAGGAGTTGCGAAAGATGAAGTCCACCCAACATAAAATTTTGAAGTAACGGAGATCCTGATTTTGCGAATCCTTCAATTTTCCCATAAATCTATTCCTTTACATGGGTCAACGGCAGTACCGCCCCGTTGGGTATAGCGAATCGCAAGAACCATGTACTTTCTGCTCAAGAAACTTTCGATAATACCCGTTGATGTAGTTGCAAAACTTCCACGTCAGGCGGGACTTGAAGAGTGGTGTGCAAAATTGGAGTCAGTAGTGCAACGGGTCAGAGCATGCGTTCCCAGATAGAGTGAGATGTGAGTTCGAGTCTCGCCTGACACGAAAGTTGTGCACATCACTTTATATCAAAGGGCATATTAGAAAATCTATAGCACCTCGAGAGACGATTAAATAAAAAGAACTTCATTGGGTCATCAAGACTTTCGAATATTTGCTAATAATAGCTAATTAATAAATTTATCGATTCATTGTTAAGTATTGATGCAATTTTTTTTTGACAAGGCGCGATTAGCATCTTCTATGTTAATTCCAATTTACCCCATATCCTTTGTTGAAAGGCATGTAAAGGCATAAGTTTTTATTTTTCAATAAAATACCATCTATAATCTACGACCTATTGTAACATCTAATAAAAGACTCCCAAGTTCTGTGCTGGGAGTGGGGCATCTGAAATTGTTGGTTATTATGGGCGGTTACAGTCGTCATGATAAACTTAGGCACGCTCACTTCTATTCGTTCCATTCTAATCCGTGTTCCTCATTGTGACTTTTTTCAGACCTCCCGTTTTTTTTTCAAAATAGCTTACTCTCCTCGAGAAAGAGTCTGTATAGAAAATGTTTCGGATTTGTTAGAGCGTCATTTTAGAGTGCAAATGGCGGAGATTGTTATAAACAGTATTGACTCACATCGCCTATACTTTAAGCACCAGATTTGGGTTGCTGATTATTGAGATGAATCGATGTTCATGGTCAATCTCGCACTGATAAAGGCGCCAGCTCTTTCGACTACGCGATTATCGCATGATTTGACAGACGTTTCTTTGCCAGCATCATAAGTGACTTGAATAGGCAGCATTTTGCCGTACCGGCTAGTGCGATGATGCACTCCTAATCCTTTTAGCCTGCATCATTATTTCTTTAATGAAGCGCTCAAATAAAAGTGAACGAGTTTTGTAAGCACAGACTGCCACATTAGTCCTTCAAAATCATGCAGCACAGATCGACTTTGACATTTGGCAACCTTTTGCTATTCAGCCCATCCAAACGTCGACTTTTCGCAGGTCAGAAAGATCACACTTACTTACTTTACTGTTTTAACTCGAATTATGTATAACTCGCTGAGTGGAGCGTGGACACGCCCAATGGTAGTTCTTCACTCATTTTCAAACTAGATGTAGAGTTCATTTGTTGAAGGAAATATCTGACCACTTTCCAGCCATTTGAGTGAAGTCTTCTATTTTAATTAGCTTAATGTGACTAATCAATTGTATATCTACTCATGCATTTAAGAGTATTTCAACGTAGAAAATGCTTGTGATATCGACATAGCTGAAGCACAGAATCCGATTCCTTCGTTCATTTTAGTCTCTCTAAAGCATAAGAGCGTTTTGAATGTGTGCTTATTCTATCTGCCGAGTAGAGGCGCTTCACGTATCTTCGTCACTATTCAGTTATTAGGTTGGAAAGAAAACTTTCATCGTTCACATGGGAACGTTGTTTTTGCGCATGAATCGTGTGTGAATTTTTCATATAATTTGAGAGGTCTACTTCTTGCGCATCTATTGATATAAATTTGTCTATATCTGCTGCAGAATGGAATTGTCCGAAGAACACAAACACCACCATCCGTGCCGCGTCAAAATCGATTTGGCAAAAAGGTCATGATTTGCGTTTGGTAGAATTTCGAAAGGATTTTGCATTTTGAACTTGTTCCGAATGACAAATCTATCAATGTCGATCTTTACTGCGAGCAGCTCCACCTTGTTTACGACAAGCTGGCCGAGAATTACCCAGAACTTGTTCGTCGAAAGCGCGCTTTGTTTCAGCAAGAAACGCAAAACCACATACAACCAAAAAGACCAAGGCAAAGTTAGAGCAGTCGGGGGAGTTAAGATTCTACCGCATCCACCCTTTATTCCGAACGTTGTCCCATCTGATTACGACCTTTTTCCGATCAATGCAACACTTTTTGGAAGGTCGCCGATTTGAATCTTCTGACGAAGCTGAAGAAGCATGTCAAGAGTTCTTTGATTCAAAGCCTAAGGAGTGGTTTTTCGATCAGATCCGAATCCTGGCGGACCGATGGCAAAAAGTGGTGGTTACTGATGGTCTGTATTTTGAGGATTAGTTGTTATTGATGTTTGCTGTCTGAAAACATGTATAAATCATGAATTTTTATTAAACGATGGAAACTTTCTTTCCAACCTAGTAAATACGCTTCAATGAGGAAAACGTACGAAGATACTGCCTTTCATCACAGAGCCACAAAAGTACTATAAATTTTTTACTCTACCCCTCTATCTAAATGCAGCTCTTTGTTTTATTGTTGTTCAGCACATAGGTACTCTTGGCTATTTTTTGATAATATGATGAATTTATACCTAAATTACATGTTCCAAGAAGTGCAGGTACCCATGCTCCATTTGTGCAAGTGCTGGATATCGTGCCGGAAATCGTATAGCCAAGATTACAGCTGAGCGTTGCAACCGTTCCAGAAGCATAAGAACCAACTAAATATGTTTTAGTTCAGAGAACAAGTCGACTAGAGCACCAATTCTGACAAAAACTCGTTCACTTCCGACAGTGCTGTAAGTAACGTGGCCATTCAGAGGCGTCGCTATGGCAAGGCAGACACCGTCACCGGGTACGGGGATTATTCCTGAAGGAATTTGAAATTGTCATTCTAGATTATCTTGACTACTTTTTTTGTTTGAAATGCTTGTCACTAGTATTTTGGAGAGCATTATTCTTCCACAGTTGCGACTGCGATATGCTTCCATGCAACTTGACTACCGGTGGACCAAACAAAACACCTCGATGGTCACTACTTATTCTCCATCGGCAGTGGTATGAGAAGCGAAAGATATGGTGCACGGACTGAACATCACGAAGAACTTAAAGAATTCTCAACCAAAGCCCACATTTTAAGGAAGCTATTGAATTTCAGGATGCCAAAAGAAATTTCAGTCGTCCTCATCAAAACAAAAAAGTTTCAGAACAGCGTTCTCTGACATGAACCTAACAAATTTGAGTGGATAGAAAACAGAGGATTTTTCTCTGGGACTTGGAGCTGACTAAGTGATCGACACAGCACCACGAGGCAGCAAGTTGGTAACTGACGCTTTGTCTCTCAAAACAGTGAACACACTTTGAGGATGAAGTCCTGGCTCTTAAAATAGCCTACTTTATATTCTATTTACAAAAAAAATATATTCATCTAGTAATGCTGAGCGATGTGCAGAACTTCGAGCCCCAGACGATCCTTTGAAAAGATGTAATGCGGTTGCAAATCCTGTCTGACGCTCAAAGTGTCGCAAATCACTCAACATTATTGGTTTTTTTTTTTTTGTAAGACCATGCCCCCGCTAACGGTCAGTCAAAAACAAACCCAATTAGTTACAGAAATGTTTCCACGCAGCAGCTTTGTTCAGAACACTTTGAATCTGCAGTCATGAAGAGAATTCTCTGACTCCACATCGTTTATTCTAAACTACTCTTCTAAGGCACATTTTTCTTTGATGTTGCCGTCGTAGTTTCAAGGATGAAGCGCAGAAGCGTAGATGATATATGTAAAGACCATAAGAGCGTAGAAAATATATAGAATGAAGCAGAACAATGACGAGATGAATCACTCAGAAACGTATCATCACGATGTTATGAGGTTGACAGTGATTTGATTTCATTATGCTCACATTCTTTTCAGGTTAATCCGTGACTGACAGGAGTTATACTTAATCAAAGTCTGCACTGATTTCATAAAAAGCAAGGAAGTTTCTCACCTGGAAGTATACTCGAGGAAAGGCTACAGGTACCTGAAAAGCTATCGATAAAGTTGAATGGCAAATATAATTCTTGTTCTCTAGCGATTAGTGGGCAAAGAATGTTCAAAACATTCATGCCTAATGCAGAGTAAGTATGAGAATTCGGTTTACCTAAGAGAATTGAGTGATGAGCAAAAATTCGACCTCAGGCGAGAGTTGAACCCGCGTTTCGTCTATACCGAGGGCGCGTGCTAACACTACACCACCGGCTTGGGTAGAACGCAGGCTTAGTCCCTGTCTAAGGTTGAATTTTTGCTCACCACTCAATTTTCTAGGTATATATGAACCATTATAGCACTGCGAACAGTAAAAACATAAGAACTCAGGAACCATATTCCTCATTAACAGATGTGTGTACTTCCTATGCAGTTACATTGACAGTGAGTACTTACGTTGAAATCTCATGGGCTTTTTGAGATTGACCAAAATGACACATGATAGACGTAGTCAACGGTAAAATAAATAACCAGTTAATTAATAACTTCCTTTTAGATATTTGCAAAAAAACTAGCGATTGATGTGAAACCTTTACCGAGAGTCGGTGTCCAGACACCATTCTCACACGTTGCAGACAAGGTACCTTGAGGAGTAAAGCCTGCGTTGCACACTACTACTACCTTAGTTCCTGATGAGTAGGGAAGCAGCAAGTTAGACTGAACGTAAGTTGGCGTTCCGCCAATTATAAAGACTGGAAGACATCCAAGGCCAGAAATTTCCTGAATCAACTCTCCTATCATTGTAAAAATCGAATTTCACAAAGAGTTAGTTGGAAAAATATTGGCTATCACGCGAGGATAGTTCAGTAAGCTGTGTTAAATGAAAAGAAAGAAAATTAGTAAGCATTAGAGAATTATAAAAAAAGCTGTTCAACAAACCTGTCGCTTTACACGAGACGACTGAAAAAATCTAAATTCAAGTCGGACACAAGAAGAAAATTCGGAAAAAACGTATCTTTTACTAAATCAAAAATACGGTTGTTTTTAAATGATTGTAGGTAGCTTATTCAAACTTCATTCAAACTACTTTAAGCGCTATCGTCCCTTATAAATCATATATACCGATGTGTCTGTATACCTCTGTGCGTTCACCAAATTCGCACATGTTATCTACATGCTAGTAGGCCTCCTATTTTACAAAGACGGAGTTGCGATTTCTCTGAAAGAGCAAAAATCCCGGTGGGATAGTGGGCTACACGCTATTGCTGGATAGCGAAATCCTGTCCGTTTGAGTTCGTTTGAGGTGCCGTATTTTTCTGGTGGCTCAGCATTTCACATCTTCTCAT